TCGGATCAGCAGCGTTGTAACACAACATGCTGACCACTGGACCACAATGGCGCTGTTATGTTGGCACGTGTGGAATAAAAAATAAGCATTGTACTGGTACCTGCAAGACTCTTTTGCTTAAACTTTTTCTCCCCTTTTTAGATTTCTGATCAAGTTATGTCAGATTTATTAATGTAGTGAATCATCTTTCAATGTTGTGAATGAGATTTTCTTTGAGCAGGTGTAATAATCATTAATTTTAAATATTCTAATTGTTATATTCCCTAAGGTGCTGCTGTCATTATTAACCATGGTCAAATAAATAAATAAATAATTTTAAAAAGTGCGACTACTGAGAATGCAAGCAGCTGGAGACAAAAAACCGGACCGGCTCACCGGGAATTCTCCCAGTCTACCCGATTAGCCAATCCGGGTTAGAGGTGGGGTTAGGTGCCACGCCTCTTTTCACTTAACTGACCAAACGTAAAATACATTTCCTCGTGAGATCAGGGTGGTTTTACCTATGAGTATGCATACAAAATGCAGCTAAAAGTGCTACACGATGGTAATATTTTGATTAAGGCGTTTACATCAATAATGCGACTAAAATAGGAATACTCCACACGACTTTATTCCATTTGCTTTTATGATGATTATGACTTTAAGCATACCTGAAGTGCCATTCCATACCATGGTTATGAGCCATGGTTAATGTAAGAGGCTGTTGTTGGACGCGGCAGCCTCTGAACTCCGTAAAAAAACCTGTTTATGTGACACCCGCCGAAGCAACCGAATGACATGCGCATCTCCAAGGCTAGTCTGGGTTGCCAGGTGTGTGCGAAGCACTTGATTTGCTGTTTAAATCCAATCCTACCTCCAATCTTCAATGCTAAATTTACCCTCATGCTCGATCAACTCACGAGACAACTTTTCACCCTCAATGAGGTACACAGTGCTCAGCATAATTGAGTACAGCACATTTTGAAATTAATATTTTTTTCTGTATTTGGTGCATTTAAAGAGATTTATTAAACAGATATATTTATTAAAATAATATTTTAGTCACCAAACATATTTAGAAATTGAAGGATAATACAAATAAATTCAAGCTAAATATTGCAAAAATAAATTACAACCTTCAAAATATATAAAAAATTATTTTTTTTGATTTGGTTGATTTTTCTTCTTTATTAAATTTGTATTTAATATTTTTCTTATAATAACATATAAATGTGGCTGTACTAGTTTTTGGACCGTTACCGTAAGTTATTTTGTTAGATAAGCTCCAGATTTGGCTTCAGTACTGTCTAATCTAATGTATATGCACACATATAATATTATTTAGCTTAAAATTAATCATTTAAAAGAGAGATTTGTGAGGGGTGTACTTATATATGCTGAGCACCGTATATGAGTGAGCATCAGTTTTACCTATGAGTATGAGTATGCAGACGAGCAGGGCGATGAGTGCTCCAGGACTCAGCGCCGCAGACATGACGTAAGCCGTGGCGTTGCAGGACTGGATGGCGCCGTCACTGTCGCAACCGCACACGTGTATGGTGAGGGTCCCGGTGCTGCTGAGGGCCGGCGGGCCACTGTCCACCACCAGAATGGGCAGCAGGTACACGTTCTGCTCCTGACGGTTGAAGCCGGAGCGCTGGGTCCTGATGCCCGCCGTGTTGTCTACAGAGGAGATCAATATACAGTCAGCATTAATAAGTATAATACATTCCATAGGATGCTCTACAGCAGTGTTTCTTGGGAACATTTTCAGTGGGTCGCGGAGTGTGTGATCAAAAAAACAACAAAAGTTTAATATTTAACTTATTTTGCTTATATCGGACTTTTATTTTGAAATGCGGGTGCCGAAGCGTGCAAATGGGACTTTTAATTTGTCAGTAACCTGGGTTAAGCGCTTTTGGCGAACTGCAATGCAAAAACCGGTGCGTTTAAGGTCTGTTTTCTTTAAAAATCAGCGATCTCCACTGGCTGAGTGATATCCGATATAAAGTGGGCCTCAGATTGTACAAGAAGCACTGCATTAAATGACATTTTCCTCCGCCATGTCTTTATAATATGAGCATTTATTTTACCCCAGTATATTTAATGGAGCCTGCTGATTCTGAGGGGCGTGTGCGAGTAAACGGCTTGTTTTCTCGTTTTACGCTTTAGCAACTAAATGAATGTATTTTAATGACATTACAACATCGATGCTGTAAAAGGAACCATATAAAATGGGAAAAAAATTTCACCATAACAGGTCACCGGAAGTTTATCAGTATGGGAACACCACTAACGTTAGCTCCGCATATACCCTTTTGACATGTGAAATTCCAGCGCAAGTACGACCCCGAATATCTAAAGTGTGGATTTACATATTTTGACGACAAAAAGGCTTAAAACCTCGATGTGTCATATGTAGTGAGGTGCTTTCACGAGAGAAATGAAACCTAAATTAAAACGACATTTAGAAACCAAACATCCCAGTTGCAAGGAAAAACCCGTGGACTATTTTCTAAGACGACTCTAATAGCTGAGGGCATCTCAAAAGTGGCGAACATATTCATGTTCATAACAAGTACAAGTACATCTTACTGTGCTCACCATGTAGCAAAGGCCAAGAAAGCCCACACAAAAGCAGGACAGCAGATAACTGCTGATTATTATAAAATGGTTATGATTATTTTAATAATTTTACTACAGTTTGCTGTTTTCTTTTCAGTTCAACCAGATCAGTGTTAATGTTTTATAAACAGTTCAGTTTAGTTAATGGTAACTTAGCTTTTCCTTACACTAACCACTGTTTACAGTATTTGACATTTTTACTCTGTAATAGTTCTATAATTTGATACATTTTGTTAAATGACAGCAATAAAATATTGTTTATTTGTAAGTCTTGGTGATTTTCTCATAATTTATCTCACTAGTTGTGTATGTTAACAATTCAATACAAATGAATTATAATTCCTAAAATTTGGGTCGCGGCTTGATGAATGTGGGTCCCATGGCCAAACCAGTTGAGAACCCCTGCTCTACAGTAATACATTTGTTCATATAGCTGAAGTCAGATTTATTAGCCCTCTAGAATTATTAGCTCCCCTGTTTTAATCAATTAGAGAGATCACAATCATAAACATAATAGTTTTAATAACTCATTCCTGATAACTGATTCCTTTGATCTTATATTATTTCTTTTATGATGACAGTAAATAATATTGGACTAGATATTTTCAAGATGCTAGGATTCAGCTTAAAGTGACATTTAAAGGCTTAACTAGTTTAGGTTTTATCCACTTGTCAGCTAGACTGTGTTTTGCTTAGAGCTGCGGTCACACTAGAGTTTGTGTGTGCGAAATTCTGTCATATGGGGCTACGAAAAGGGGCGGGATTAAATACGATTATTGGACATTAAAAAAAGCGAGCGATTGCTCCGTGTTTTAAATTTCTGTCCAGAGAGGTCGTGTGTTGATCCTGGATTGGTCTCACGCAGTTAAGTGATGCAATTTCGCAGGTCACCAAGCTTGAACTTTGCACCGAAGCAACCTGTGAAACTTGACGCATGACCCATGCTTTTCCGATCTGACGCATTTGCGTACAAAATCGCATCACTTGACGGCGTGAGAACAATCGAGGATCAAAACATGAACTCTCTGGACAGAAATTTAAAACATTGCGCAATCGCTCGCTTTTTTTAATGTCTAATAATCTTGTTTAATCCCGCCCCTTTTCAAAGCGTCGCACGACAGAATATCGCATGCACAAACTCTAGTGTGACCGCAGCTTTAAGCTACGGTCACGCTAGTGTTTGTGTGTGCGAAATTCTGTCATACTGCGCTGCGAAAAGGGGCTTTGTGTCTGTACAACGACAAGGTTTGTTTGAGCTGCGGTCATCCATCGGTTATTATACTTCACAGTGTAATCTCTTGGCTGTGTATAAAACATGGCGGCCCTTTTGTTTTCATTCTGGCTTGTTGCGTAAGCTAATGACGTATCTCTGTAACCAATCAGCATTCAGCTGCACATGTAGCTCCACCTTTTGGTACCCTTTTTCGTGTTCGGTACCTTTTCCAAAGGGTGCCGATAAAGTAATACAGTACGGTTCGGTATGCCTTTTGACAGTGGAAACAGCCATAAAAGCAAACCGAACCGTACCGTACCACACAGTGGAAACGGGGGATAAAAGAACGTTGAAAACTTGTAACCACAAAGTTTTTCCTACTACGGAGGTTAATGTTTCATCTTTCTTCAAAATGCCTTTTTTTGTGTTCAACAGAAGAAGCAAACTCATAAAGGAGCCACTTAAGGTTGAGTAAGGGCCTACTCACACTATGGCATCCGTACCATGCCCAGGCCCGTTTCCCGGATCGTTTGAGAAGTGTGAGTGCGCTGAATCGGGCTCAAGCACGGTTCACTTGGCCGGCCCTGGCCCGGTTGGAAGAGGTGTGCCTGAGCGCGGATCACTTGGGCTTTGGCGCGGTACGCTTGTGTGTGAGTGCAAAACGTGCCAAAGCCCGAAACTGAAAGCGAGACGTGACTTTTAAGGGACTGTTTCATATGGATTTATTAATCATTCTTACTGTTCAGTGAACGCAAACTGCCGTAGTTTATTAAAGACGCAAACTCCTCACTGCACGTCAGCTGCGCGCCTTCAGCAGACCTCCTCATTCCTGCAGCACGAGGGCTTTCTGATTGTTTATGAGCGCCAAAAGTGGCGGATCTGTCCGGTAAAATATCTGACTGCGTGTCACCGCATCCCTAAGGACTGTTTGGCGAAATATTTGACTGCATGTCACTGCATAACAAACGACTGAAACGATATAACTAGAGAAATCTCCACTGTGCTACTGGGTGAGAGTGTATGGCAAGCCATTTTAGCATTTAAACCTTGTTCTGACTATCCATAAATAAATTTAGATATATCTCTAATTATATTTTGACTTGTCATAATTATAATCTGACTAGTCAGATTGGAGATATCTGAAAATATATTATGACTGACTAGTCATATTCCTCCATTGACTTCCATTGAAAAATATTTGCAGATATCTCTAAATGAGTTTTGACTAGTCACAATTGTAATTAGAGATATCTCTAAATGAATTTTGACTAGTCAAAAATTCAATTCAAGATATCCACAACTGTAATTCGACTATTAGTAAATTAATTAGAGATATCTTCAAATATATTTGTAAATATATCTAAATATGATGAATTAAAGATATCTCTAAATGTATTATGACTAGTAAAAACTCAGTTAGAGATATCTCTAATTACAATTGTTACTAGTCAAAGTTCATTTGGAGATATCTCTAATTACAATTGTGACTAGAGATATCTGCAAATATTTTTCAATGGAAGTCAATGGAGGAATATGACTAGTCATAATATATTTGCAGATATCTCCAATCTGATTTCGTACTACAATTGTAATTGCAGATATCTCTAATTGTCATTCTGAGTAGTGGAATTATAATTATGACTAGTCAAAATATAATTAGAGATATCTCTAAATATGTTTATGGAGACAGAACAAAGATTTAAATGCTAAAAAGGCTTGCCATAGAGAGCGCAGCAGCAGCGATGACGTAAGCGTGCCGAGGCCCGATATGGTGTAAGCGCGGGCCGTCGGGGGAGACGGGAGGGGGGACAAGCGTGCTTTGGCCCGGTTCGAGGCAACTGTACCTAGTGTGAGTACGGCCTAAATAGTGAATTAAACTTCATTTTACAGTGAACTATCTTTTAAAAGGTGAACACATTCATGCAGACACTTTTCTAGCATTTACTATCCTCTCCCCATATATGAAAATCCCTGACGCAGACACCAAAATCGGCACATCTCCATAATGTAAAGCTCCTCTGAAGCGTCCACAAGCTTTAGCATCAGCTGATGTATGAATGTGGCGAACTCTGACAAACAGCAAAATACTGTGAAAAACTACAGCAACAACTCAACTAATGGACTTGCATACAGGCACAGCAGCCATCCATCATGTAGGACATCCATCAGTGTCTGCGGCGGCTGATAAATCCAGCATCTTTCCAGAGAGCGGGAGTTTCTGCTGAGTAAAAGCCCTGTGACACCGAGACTGTAAATCAACTCTCTCCTTCTCATAAATACAGCTCACACCATCAGATCCATTCACCTCTTGGAAACATCAGCAGCAGAGGATTTCAACAAACCCATGTGAAGATCTGATATATGGACGTATACAGTACTGCGCAGAAGGTTAGAGGAAAGCAAACTCAGGCTCATTGGAGATATGTGCCCAGGGCTGGAGCTGTGATCGGGCAATAAAAGTTATGACCGTTAGGGTCCGAGCCGGACAGAAATTGGCCCGGGTCCTACAAGTAGATTTGATTGATAGCTTTTTGAAAGCCCGGTTTACAGCCTGACATTATTCAAATGTGCACATGCACACAGCTCTTTTGCCTTTTTTTCAAGATTGAGTCGTTTATACGTGTTTTACCATTATTTAATCATAACAAACGTATAGGCCACTTAGAAATTGGAACAAAGGAATAAAATAAGTCTTCTGTAACATCGTAACATCTCAGCACTATAAATTGGCCTAGGTACAGACACCAGGCCGTACTCACACTATGTACAGTTGCCTTGAACCGGGCCAAAGCATGCTTGATCCCCCTCCCGTCTCCCCCGACGGCCTGCACTCACACTACATTCGTGCCTAGGCACGCTTACGTCATCAACGCTGCGCTGTTCATTAAATGCTTTTGATCAGCACAATGGACATTTCTCAAGTTATATA